GAGCGGAGAATGACTGACAGCTGCAGCAGAAGGAAGATGAGTTTCTGTAAACCTAAATTCTGTCCCTCACATTAAGATATGGAATGGCTTCAGATGATATAGCTGGGCTCCAGACTGCGACCATTTTTTCTGCCTGTGCGACTAAATTTGTGTGTGCTGTCGCACTGGCGCAACCACCGCGTTGGTGAACTCATAAGCGCTGCAATTTCTGTTGCATATGAGAAACATCAAACGGCAAACGAAACTGAAAGCATAACGAAACCGCACTTAGAGAGTATACTCGCCACATCAGCACGAGCGCGAGGGTGCGCGCAGCAAAAATGACACGCATATTGAGGAAATGATGGATGGTTTTCAAGCGAAAGTCAAGTAAAAGACCGCTTCTTAAACCAGAGAAGGTGACCATGCTGGTATTCTTGTGGAAGAAAAAACATGCTTGTTTACCTCACATTACACTACGGAGGCTCTCTTTTATTTATTTCCTCAGTGTTTGCTAAATGTTCTGTAATTTATTAGTCAGTATATAATACAGCATGTGGTGTGTGCCATGCCTCATCTTAGTTGTTCTTACCGATTTATTGTTGTTGTGCTTTTTAATTAAGAATAACAATGAATCCATCTTTTGTTTTAGTCTTAAAAAGTGAAATATGTATAGATGTACAGCATGTAAGCAAATGAGACAATTATCTTTTCTTGTAAAACGTGACACCAAGATCGCGAATTCGAAAGTGAAAGCATCCGAAGCCTGCGGCTTAACACAGCAAAAGAGTAACTCCCATCCACTTTCGTTTCCATATAACTACAAACTATGATAAAAGTTCATCAGCATGCATTGAATAATTCCATGTTATAAAGCAATAAAAAAAAAATAAAAAAAATATTGCGACCAAATCATGTGCTTGTGCGACCAGCTGAGAAAGTTATTTGCAAAAGAGTGACCAGAGTGACCAATGAGTCTGGAGCCCTGTATAGGCTATACAGTGCATGAAAAGCTAACTGGTGCTCTTCTGTTTCTTTTGGTGTATGACTCCAACTTGTGTCGTATAAAAAGCACAATAATCGCGTTTGTTTAGATCAAATAATTGCGA